CGGAAGGGTGTTCCCTAGCAACTACCCAAAAAACCTTTACGGTTTTCTGGTTTAACATCGGGTTCAAAAAAATATAAATAATGTATATATATATATATATATATATATATATATATATATATATATATATATATATATATATGTATGTATGTATGTATGTATATATATATATATGTGTGTGTGAGTGTGAGAGAGAGAGAGAGTATAAATACACACACATACACATATGTACACACATATTATACTATTTTTTTTATTTCTATAAATATATTATTAATAATTTCAAGAATAGAAATAAAATGTTTATAGTCTGAATTCAAGCTCGAGTTCGAGCATATTCGAGTTTGAACCAAGCACGAGTCGATCCCAAATCGATCTTGAGCCAAAGTTAGTACGCTCGCTCGAACTCGAGTCATTACATTCTTATCGAGCTCGAGCAAGCCCAAATTTGAACTTGGCTTGACTTGTTTGCACCCCTAGTTAACCTTATCACTCTACGTGCTTATCAATGAGCATGTTATGGTCATTAAAATTAATGTATGAAGTCATTGTTGGATAAAATCGTCTTTGGATCCGGAATGATAATCTGGCATCGAGGGGTGTTAATGAAATTTTTTGAATTAAAACTCTTTGGCCTACTCTAACACCAGTGGTAATTTTTCCCTCTAGGATATGCTCCCTGACTTCGTCAATATTATCGTTCCATTACACAGTCTCATAGAATGATCCATATTTCTTAACAGCATCAACCATGCGCCCCACTTTAATTTCATTGTCAACTTATTATGATTTGAAACACCAAAGCGTCTTATATAGTTTAAGAACTTTGGAGTGTGTAGTTCTGCCAAAAAATGTATAGAATAACATGCCTTACAAACACAATCTGAACTAAGATACGTTCTCACACCTCCAACTTCATTCAAATTTGTCATACACTCATGTATGGAGTTCACCACACTCAACTGCGGCGCAACAACCGCACACACAATCTCGCAAGAAGCTCACATCTGGGGTGACGTTTTGAATTTTGGATACATACTTTCAAAAATTGCACCTATTACATGACTAGTAATGTGAATAAGAATATCACCAGAAATACTAATAGAAACACACCCGTCATTTGCATCACCAGTGACGCCATCTCATGGGATCGCCATCCGGTCTGAAAGAATTTTCACGTCATATGAGTTTTCAGAATTTGTTATATTTTGCAAACACGAATTTTTATTAGTCTCAAAATTGTACAGACTGACCATAAGTATGAAAAGTTAATTGTAGCATTAACGACATCTTGCCTACTGCATTGAGGAATCATATGAAATATGTGATGAAATCTCCACACACAAATCAATGTCTTTCCCCCAAATGGAAAACAAATGCTATTGGGAAATCAGTCATTTTTTTATTATCAAACACTGGACTTGAGATTTCCAAAGTATGCAATACTCAAAATAAATAAGATTGTGTTTACTTTTTCTACTTGAATTGATTGAAGAGCACTGTTTTAATTTTTCATACAACTTTCATTCTTTTATTTTTTTCATCATTTAGCTTATTCGCGCAATAGTTTGACTTTAGAAATTCATTTCCGTCATGAAGCATGTCATGTAATAAGTCCGACTAGCATGTGAAACTTGTGTCACTCCATTTATTCTTGACTTTCACATTATAAAGTGTTATCACGGTAGATAGCTTTGTGTACTTTGTAAACTCGAGGTATAATGATAGTTGTATGACTTGTGATTAACTTTAAAAAATGTGTGGTTGTGCGCTACAATGGTCTTTGAGTTCCTTCATCATCTCATCCACTCTCTCATCGTCTCCCTTGATCTTCATCATCACGGTCACCTTCAGTTTTTGTGTCGTCATCATTATCACCCTCAGCATTAGAATGTGTTTCGATTATGACAACATTTGTCATTTCATTTACATGTGTTAGATTTTCTGAGTCTACCCCTTTCTCACCATGTCATACTCATATATAGTATTATTGTTTAATCCATGACGAACTAAATTTTCTTCAATTGTTTTTAGTGATCCAAATGAATTTGTGTTGCCACAACCCACACAAGACCAATACGACTAATAAAAATAAAACAAAAAAATGCAAGTCATATTATAATAATCGGGTAAATAATGCACTAATTAAGTAATGCATTGTCCAATTTGTTCATTCTAAGAAAATCTTATCTCCATTCATCCGATAGTATATTGTTTTTCTAGTTAAATTTGAAATGCTTGGACATAGAGATTCTACATGTATATAGTTTTTTAAAAAAAATAAAGCTTTCGATCCATATCAGGGATTTATTGAGACAAGGCATAACACGTAAAAAGTACACTTTTTAGAGTAATTAACGCAAATATATTTTAAACATATTACATTTTCACACAAAAGACATAGAAACTACTCTGTACAAAATATATATTACTTTAATTCATAAAACTCAAAATCTTTTTCAAACACAAAATCCAAACATGAATATTGCATGAATTTTAACCAAATACTCCGTAATAGTATCCCCACACAATATTCACTATCTTAATCCCTGGTCAAATGTACGTTGGAAGATAATTTAGGGACGGAGGGAGTAATATTTAAGAAAAACCCCTAAAATCACAAAATACGCCCAAACAGAAAGTTTGGGACTAAATCCGTCCTATCTAGATATATAGTTGGATACTTATTCCGACATATCCTCTAAATATAAGAAAATGCCTTAAATATGACTAAAAAGATTTATGAATGTTAAAATATGATTGTTATGTTTTTATTTCTAAATAGGAATAATTATTATCATGTTTTGACATTATCACACTTTAAACATGTCAATTATTCTAAACTTGACAGTAATTACTCATATTTAAAGAATAAAAACATGACAATCATATTTTGAAATTTCAACACGTTTTTACTCTTATTTCAGGAATTTTCCCCTTAAATACTTAATCAATTTACGATAATACTCTGTCCCGAGTAAAAGTTTTCATTTAATTTACAATGTTTAACTCACTATAATGTTAACTAATCATTGTCAATAATAAGATTATTTTCCCTTCAAAAAACAGATTATTTTAATAAATAAAATTTACATATTGAAATATAACATTAAAAGTCTAATAAAATTGCAAAAAGAAAAATCAAAGTTGATAAAAGTTGAACACATAAGTTTAAATATTATATTGACCGAAGCACAATGAACGCGATCATTTACTTGGGACAAAAAAATACTTTTCTCTAAAATCTACTTGGGAGTGTGGGACAAGGTAGTAGCTTGTGAACTCTTAAAAGTTGGAAGTAGACCTCTCAACGAGTCGGGTACGGACCGGAACGTAGTATCCCAGACCCGTACCCGTTAGCCTCTATATGGTTCCAGACCCGACCCATATACCCGGCGGATCTAGAACTTTCCAAACCCATACCCATTGGGTCTCGGAACCGGGTCGGGTAGACCCGACCCGTCTCATGAAAATCCAATTCTAATTTCTTAAATAAAAAACAAAACCTCTTACTATCGAGTACTTTTCTGGCAACAATATGGCACATGAACTGTAATTACTTGTTTGTAATTACTCAACCAAACGCAACAATTGTGAGTTGGTTTATAATTTACAAGATACGTAATGTTAGAATAAAGAGTAAAATTAATGGCTTTGGAAACTGAACAAGCTTTTTCCTGAATTATAGGGATCCTTCTTCAGATTTATTAAACTAAATCGTAATGTGGGCGGCAACTAATGTAATATGTATATTAGACTAATGTATATATATAAATAAATATTAACGGGTCGGGTCCTAAATGGGTCGAAACTACATATACCATACCCGACCCATTAAATAACGGGTGCAGATCCAGGTCCGGGTAACGGAATTAAATGTAGACCCATACCCATTAAAAAAGATGGATCCGGATCGGATTTGGGTCTAGACCCGACCCATTAACAGACCTAGTTGGAAGCATATGGTAGAATACTTCTACTTTTTCTAGCTGACCATTCCGCACACATCTTTTCTCTAAAACCGTTTTTTTAGAGTAAAACACTAAAACAATCGCAAACGCTCTTTTTACCTCATTCTATAAGATATACTCCCTCCGTCCCTAAATGTTTGTCACACTTTGACTTCATAAGTTTTAAGGAGTTAAATTTGACTTTACACTGTAGCGACACTGTTTCACACTGTAGCGGCACTGTTTGGCACTGTTTGGTATAGATTTGGTTACCAAATAAGGAAGTTTAAAAAGTATGACAAACATTTTGGGACATCCGTTTCGAGAAAATGTGACAAACATTTAGGGACGGAGGGAGTAGTTTTCTTTTTCGAACTGTCTACAAATATGATGGTTTTCCTAATTCCTATATTGAACTTGTTTAAATTTTCATTTCACTTTATCCATCATTCTGCATAGGGGTGGACTCGGGCCGGGCCAACCAGCCCGGAACCGGACCGGCCCGCCACTGTGCGGGCCCGGACCGGCCCGGGAACCGGTTCGTTGGGCGGTTCGGGCCACCCGGCCCGGTGGATTCTCGGTTCGGTCTCGGGCCCTTCAAAAGGTGAACCGGCCCGGCCGGTTCGGGCCCGGCCCGGGCCAATTTTAATTTTTTTTTTGAATTTTTTTTGAGTTTTTGGGTTGGGCTGGTTATTTTGGGCCATTTGAGGTGGTTAGGGTTGGTTTGGGGGTGAGGGGGAGGGGTGGGGGTTAACTAGGAAAAGCCCAAAAAAAAAAAATACCCGAGGCCCGGCCCGGCCCGGGCCGGTTCCGGGCCTCCCCTTCTTGAACCGAGGCCCGGCCGGGCCCAGGCCCGAACCGGGCCCGAACCGGCCCGAGTCCACTCCTAATTCTGCATATTTACTTTTAGGATGGATGGAGAATTGGAGATTGCTTTTTTTTGCCGTAAAACTACTGATGGCTGGCTCCTTATGTAATATGTAGAAAATAATACATGAACAACATTCCTTAAGCTTATTAATGAAATGACAAACCAAGCTGCCAAGCATAGTCATCCAATGTGCACGTAAAGCCATTAATTACTATCATACCAAAGTACCAAACAAATCAATTACTAGTGTTTCAAGGTGAGGCTGTCACGGGAAACGAACTCAACACATACTGGTTGATACAAGACGATCCAAAGCCAGTTAAAGATTATGTACATATACGTATTCTGCATTGATTTAAGAAGACACAAATACATTAAAATGAAGTAGCAAATTACATACAAATGGTGCAAGATAATTGGGTCCTATATATGTAGCCGTGAAAAAGGGTGGACCATTATCTTGTGCCGCAAGTTGTGAAACACTAGCTCAATACACAACACTACCAGTCTACCACAACACTTGCATTCTATTTACTCCCAGCAACATCTGTATATAAGACATAATAACTTCACCCTCTCATCACTGTCACACATAGGTTTGCTTGCCGATGTACCGGTACCAATAGAAAGCCAAGACACAAGTGTCAGCTATATTTTCAAAGGTGAAATATCATATTTTTTTATATATAGCCGGGTAGAACAGCTGCAGGCAACATTTTATGTATCTTCAACTGTATATGCCACAACGGTTGGTATTCACGCTTTCACATATTTATCAACATAGCCCTGCAAACCTCGCATTGTCAGAAAGGTGTAACAACCCCCCCCCCCCCCCCCCCCCCAATGCTGATACTAAACATAGTCGCATGTACAAGACAGATACACACCTACATGAGTGGCTACATCTAAGTAAATTCTAGCTGACCATTCTGCACACATCTATTTTCAAATCTGAAAACAAACCATACCCTTTATCCTATGTTGCACGGAAATGCGAGAAACAAGGGGAAATGTAGATTTTTAAAAGGAGGTACCCGCACATCATAGATTTTTAAAGTCTTCACCTAACTATCTAAGCTTGGGCTGTAAAAATGCTACAAACGTCTTATACAAGCTAATTTTAGATAGACACAATCCACTCCACTATCCTACTAACCATGACAGTCCTGGAATACTTTCCTTCAATATTTTAGATGCAAAACACCATTAAAAGAATAAAGCAAGCAAAAAAGAGGGCTTACCATCACCAGCTGCGTCAATTTCCTTTGTGAAGAATCAACATAGTGGTCAATCTTTTCCTGAGACTTGGGCATTTTACGATTCTTCATGGCTCCGGACACCTTCTCAACAGTTTTCTTGACAATGGTCTTGAAAACCTCCTTGCTCATATTACCTTGACGCCACGATGGTTTTAAAAGCTCCTTCACAAAGTCAGCTATTGCTTTCTTGAAAAGTTTAATAGCTCTGGAGTCCTTGCTCTTTTTACTTGTTTCAACATTATCAATCTCTATTTCTCCATCGACCATGTCTGCTACATCGTTTGAATCACTTGGACTTATGTTTTCAACAGCCCCGACTTCCCCATCTGCTGTCTCACCACATTCATCATTGCCTGCTGATGCATCAGCTATACCACTAGCTCCATCACATTTATTTGTGTTGTTTTCTTCAACATCCAATGCACTTTTGCTCCATCTGCTAGGCCTTTTCATGACATTTGAGTCAAAAGTTGTTTCGCCATTTTGGACAGGGCCAGGTTTTTGCAATGAATTTGCAGATGGCTCAATGCTGTCAAACAGTGGATCATATGGGGCAGAGTTTGGTAAAGTATTTTGTAATCCAAGGCTTTCCGTCGGTTGTCCATCAGCTCGTACATTGTTCAGACTAAAAGGAGCACCATTTCTGTCACTAGAAAGAATGTCTTTTCCTTCTATGGGAGCATCTGACCTGATCTTAGAGGCTAGTGGCTGCTCAAAGTTAGACGCATAAGGATAGAAGTAACTTGATAATCTAGATCCACCAAAATCAGGCAAACTGGGTTTCTGGTTCCTATCTAGAAGAACATCAGAAGTGTATACTGATGCGTTAGCGGCCCCAGACTGATTGGGGAGACCACAGGGGAGCTGTTGCATATAAGGATAACTCTTGGAAGATGGAATAGGAAGTTCACCATGAGGCAGAGTATCACCAACATTTTTGCTTGACCAAGTATGCCCATATGCCGGAAGTTGGCTAACCTGAGAAGTACTCGGCAATACAAAATTCTGAGGAATAATAAAGCCATTCTCTTGCAGCGGCATACTCTGTTGAAACTGTGATGGAGTTGCACCACATGGTCGAAGATAACTGTTCCCAACTGCATTTTGAACAACAGGATATGATGAATTTGGTGGTGGTTTAGCTGGCAGGTGCGAATTCCAAGAATTGTTAAAAGGTGCATGAAAATGAGACTGCAGAAGACGCAATGGAGGCTGGTAAGGAGGAAAATTTTGAACACATGCTGTGTTGAACAGTGGTTGCGCAGATATTGTGGTTGGAGCATAGGAAAATGCAGAAAAGGAATGATGGGATGGTGGCTGTGGTAAACTTGGAGAAGATAATAATTCTTTATTATCGGGAAACTGAAGGTGCTGGAATGGGGTTGATGTTAATACCTCGAGATTTGATGGTTTGGAGATTGCAGGATCAGCTATTACGTTAGTAGGTTTACAAACAACACCTTGGCGAGTCTGATCACAGTTTTCGCTTGTAGTTTCAAGTGATGATGAGGTAACACCAGCAGCTGTAAGATGCATCTCACGTTTAACTTCAACTACAGGGCTTCCGTGACTTGCTTTTCCATGCAGGTGAGATGTAGGTTCTGATTCTGTTTCCCCTTTTTCTCCAACATTATGAATTTCATGAATAATACTCAACTCTTGGGTTTTGGTTTTACTATTACTATCATTCTCGCCAACAGTTTTCTGAAGTAGAACACTTTCAGCCTCTTCATGTAATAAGCAAGAATTCCTTGAACTAGGCAAGTTGAGCCGATGCTGCTCCCTACTCCAGTAGGATTGAGATCTGTCGCTTTTATTATCAGAATTATGGTGGGAATACCGACATGAAGCTTCACGGTAGCATTTGCCTCTCTTGAAGTCGAAGCATTCGGAAAGGTGAAGTTTTCCCCTTCTCATTTTATCACTACTGCAAAATTCATGCCTAAAAGGGGACTTGCTCCTACTTCTGCGTCTCTTTGGAGATGCACTGATAATATAAAGAAAAATACAGAAAATATAACACAACCCAGTGGCAAAGAAATCAATCAAGAACGTCATGTAATACAATTTAATATTATTACCTCCTAGACGGTCTGCGCCTATCCTTACTTCGCCTTGGACTCCGCCTAGGACTCCGCCTTGGACTCCGCCTTGGACTCCGTCTTGGACTCCGTCTTGCACTCCGCCTTGGACTCCGCCTTGGACTCTGCCTCCTTTTATATGGAGAACGGCTTCGACTCCGGCTCTTTTCTCTTTTACCTCGAGTCCTTCCGTAACGCGGTGAATCCCTCCCAGAGTCACTGTCACTTTTCCCTTCTCTGGCTAGTCTACCAAACTCATCAATCTTCACCAAAGCAGATGTATTTTTCACATCCTCCTCCCTTGGGATATCAAGAATATCTAAAGTGGTATTAGTGTCAGCATCTCTGGGAGGATTCTCTTCACCATGCTCTAGAAAGTTGCATGTCGTATCAGTTTCACTAACCAATCTTCGTGATGCAGGACACTCAGATGATTTACCAGCATCATAATTCACTATGGTTTTCACTTCAATCTGGTACCCATCATTATTATCATCGTCTAAACTGTCATCAGATGAATAGCCTTGGATAAGACTAAATGGACCAGGGCCATCAGCAAGCTTAGTACACTTTCTCAAACCCAACGCGGGATTAGCTTTGCCCGAACTTTCATGTAAGGGAGAGTCTTGTATTTCTGCAGCACTTCTAATTGGACTAGTAACTGACTGATCGAGTCTAGGAGATGACGCCTTGGCTATAGGACAAGATCAATATGAAAATGCATAAGGGTATGCAGAAATGGAGATAAATGAAGTTTATATTCAAAATTCCGATTTTTTTAGCCACAATCTATGTATATATAGAGTAGTGTTCGTCGTCAGGCCAGCCTGATGGGAATGCAGTCACAACAACTTCATTTTGGTCAAAAATGAAACTTATAGTCTAACTTTTTTGTTCATTAGTATCAACTATTAGTTTCAACAGCTAGATCTTAATTTTGTTCAAACGTAGACCCTTCAAGCTCACTTCTTCACATCAAAAACTAAAACGGTTTATATCAACTCATCATAAAAATAAAATTTAAGCTCCTATAATTTTAAATATTTTGATGATTTTACAGTTGCAACTACAAATTGATACTAATGAAAAAAAAATGAATCATGAACTTTATATTCAGACAAAATGAAGTTGGCCTGCTGGATTCGCGTCAGGCCGGCCTGATATGAATGCTACTCCATATATATATACATAGAATGTGGCTCAAATAAAAGTGTCTTTCCCATGCAAAATAAAAATAAATCCAGTGCATCAGATTTGTGATTTAATGGCTCGAAATATGCCAACAATGCATAAAATTAGATTCAAAAAGTGGTGACATTTTTGTACGTAAATAAAAAACATTCCAAAAGTGCACTTTTGAATGCATTAGTGCAATGTATATGATCAAAAGTGCAAAGCGGAAATTGTTTGAATGCAATAGTGCACTGAACAAGATAGAAAATGAAGAATGGTTCGAAATTGCTGAATGCAATAGTGACTTGAGGTGCACCCCTCACAGATTATTTAAGGAGGTTACAATGCAAGGCATAACTAGTTTCAAGCAATAACAAGACTTGCACCTTTTATGTGCAAGGCATACGCCATAAGGCGCACGATTAGGGGTAGAGCAAGGCTTACGCAATTGGAGTTTCAATGATGTTATGATTAAGTGTCCCAGTTAAAAAATAATTGGGTGCAATTTTAATTCAAACCCAATTAGTTATTATTTGGGAAAAGGTCAAATAAACCCTTCTAAATTTGTATATCCATTACTTAAACCAACTAAAAAACTCATATAAACTCGCTTACTCATAAAAAGAATTATTTGAGCCAAATTACCAGAAGGTAACCTATTCTAGTCAGTCACAAGGTGGTTTACCATTTTTTTCTTTTTCCTTGCTCTTTCTCTCTGAGGTTTACTTTTCTCTTTTTTCTTTCTTATTGGATTTCTCCCATTCCCACCTCTGTTTCCACCCACTTCTCTGCTTCTTGTTTTTTCGTATATTTCTTTTCCTTCAGATTTTTTTTTTCAATTTTCTTTTCATTCCTTCATTATCAATTTATTTGTTGAATTCCTATATGAGCAAACATTTTTGGTCTAATCCACAGCTATTCAATTAATATGAGCAAACATTTTCAATTTCCTTTTCATTCCTTCTTTATCGAACTACCTGTTTATAAATTGCATTGCCAATGAGCTGTTTTTTAATAGTGTTCCTCTGTTAAACCCTAATCCACAGCTATTCTCACTGTTTTCTTGTGTTTGACCATTCAATAATAAATACAAAAATCAACTGTCCTTCAAACCACAATTAATAATTTCATTTCATGAATTTGTGGTTTGCTATATGTGTGTGTATATTATCAATGTTCATACAGTAAATCATAACATACAAACAAATTTTACAGCGTAGAACAAAAGAATAAAAACTTTAAGCAACACCATCACAATAACAAGGTTCTCAATCTCCAACTAAAATTACACCCTTATTTTAAAACACCATATGCGACTAATAACGAAGCGCCAGAGACATACATTACTCAAAATTCAGGCACTGACAGGCTCAAGCGGTCAGCTATATATACCCTTCTACAAACAGATATATTCATATACTACCTCCGTCCCGAAAAGAAGTTCCCACTTTCCTTTTATGGATGTCCCAAAAAGAAGTTCCCATTTCTATAAAATGAAACCATTTTTATTCAAAAAGTCACAACTACCCTTACTTTTTACCCACTTTTTGCTTGATTTGACATAAAGTAAGGGTAAACTTGGAAAGTCAAAACAAAACTCTACCTTACATAAATATGTGTGTAGGTCAAACCGAGAAATTCATTTGGGGACAGAGGGAGTATATATGAAGAAAGAGTGAGTGAGAGAGAGAGAGAGAGAGAGAAGATGAAAAAAATTGCACCAATTTGCAGTTAGAAGAAGAAAGCTGGGAACATGAAGAGAAGTGTATTAGGCCAATGTGCACCCATGAATTAGCCGGAGAAGGGTGCGCCAATCTGCACCCTTCTTCTGTGCACAATGTAGAAGAGTGTATTGGACCCTTTTTCCTTTTTATTTTAATAATACACCCTGCTACACATACCTCTCATCACCGGCTCTGTCATATCTACATAACCAGTCAGCCTCTCCTACTCCTCTAGTTCACACTTCGCACCTAGACGTCTGCAATTGTGCAAGTTTTTTGCTGTCACTTCTTCACCTCTTTTATTTATCCTTTTCTCCGCCTATGTTAGTCCATTGTATGCTCATATTTAAATTTTTATAGTAATATATAGTTGGTATTATTATAGGGTTTGCCCATCGCCACACAAGAAATGTATCGCCATCAGTGGCGGATCCAGAAAAATATAATCATAGGGTCCCTAATGCAACTTTAATTAATATAAAGTTAATAAAAACTATAAAAAGCAAAATACTAAAGAAGTATGACGTTTTATGAATATTGAAATATCATTTCATCCTAAATTGTAAAATATTGAACGAAACATTCATAAAAATCATAAATTTAATAATTTAATCTTAACATTAAAACAAATTTTAATAATTAATCACAAAAAAATTGAATTACTTAAACCTGAAATGTCGGAAGCCCGGAATGGACAGGGTAAGAGGAGCTTAGCTAACGATATCCGAGGTCAGAGAAACATGGAGAAGTAGAGCTGCCAGAATCGGCCGTGGCGCAGACGGCCAACCGTGCAGCCGGTGCAGGTGTAGCGGTGAAGTGAGGAAGTAGCAGAGCCGAAACTCTGCTGGAAGCTGCTGGAACTCCGCTGGATAGCAGTCTGAAGGCATGGTCTCTTGGGGCTCTGGAATGAGTCAGAAGTCTGCTAGACGAGTTGGAAGCGCCAAAGAGATGCAGATCTATGGTTTTAGGTTGGAAATAAAGAAGTGTCTCCCAAAATGATGTAGTTTTAAGATAATTAAATAATAATAAAAATTAGTCGTCTGGGAACGCACACGGACTACAGCCTCTTCCACTTCATTCTTTAGTTCACTCATAGTATTATATATATACACATAAATTTGGTTAGTTTTATATATAATATATATTTGAGAAATCCTGTCAGGCTTTCCTCACCGGAATCACTGTCCTGCAGCCTTTATTTGAGGTGCTTCGGGGTAGCATTGTTTGATGAGATTTTGTGATCATGTTCTTCATGAAGTGTAGATTATGTCCACCAAATTTCAGATTAAAATTCAATCAAGAAGGAAAAGGATGTTAAATAAATTATTGAAAAACAATGCGCTTTATATATATTTTGGCAGTGTTTTTCGATAGTTTATTTAAGTGACCTCCCGATTGAATAAAAAAGAAAAATTTGGTGGGCATAATCTAAACGTAATCAAGAACATGCATACAAAATTCCATCAAAAAAATCCACCAGGAAGAAGCACCTCAAATGGAGGCAGCCGAACATCGGTTCCGAAGGCCTGACAGGAACATTACTCAAGTATGGGTTTTTTAGACACATGTGGAATCCCGGGACACATGGTACACAAGGTGGGTCCTCCCCTGATCGCCATTGAAACCAACTAATTATACAAGATGGACCGAATGGGTACTATACTAGAGTCTAGAGATTGCCAAAGAAGATATACTTCAGCATTTAGAGGGGAAGATACGTTGAAAGATTCGAATGGAGATTTCTGCTGTGCAATATATGAAAGTCCGGAAATAAAGTAAACAAATGTTTGGCACCTTTTCGGTCTTCATCTGTGTCTCCTGCTAAGCCGCATTCAGCTGTGCTTGCTTCTTTTTGGAACTGCTCCTCGACGAAAAGTTTATTTGGTAGAGAAATACACTCCTTATATGGAGTGCAAAATGAGTAAACATTCTGTTCTTCATCTGGATGTGTGATATCATCTGAAAAGACACAGAAAAATATTGCTTCAGAATTCCAAAAGAAAGACTTGAGAAGTTGAGAGACTGAGAGTCAAAATTAGATCACCCCTCAATCAAAAAACATAAAGCCATGAGAAACACTAAATTCTGGCTCTAAATGATTTACAATGGGTGGCAGAAATTACAATTTTTTTAACATGATAAGGTCAAAATAGGTCTTCACTAACAGGTAAAAACAATGACAGCAGTGCCCAGGACACATTTGGGAATTGCAAAATGGTTAACAATGGGATACCATAAAAAGAAATGGGAAAGTGGAAGAGTGTGATGAGAGGCACAAACATTCAAGAAAGAGTTTTATCTGTTTATTGACTTTTTTTCACAATGCTTCCACGTTACAATGAAAAATAAAGACCCCATCAACATCAATAACCCAACTACATCTCTCGTGATGTATGCATAATAGAAAATATTGAATTGCAGGAGTAACCAAGTTTGGCTCCAGTTCTAGACCAACAGTTCAAGGCTCAATAATAGAAGGTATGATTCAGAATCAGCCAGTTTCAGGCGAGTTATCTAAGAAAACAAGAGAGTGTAGATATGAAACTGAAGCGCATTGGAAGTATGGAATCATCAGTTACAAATAGTCCCTACCTCCCGAATTGGGCAGGCTTATCATACCTAACTAAGCAAGCCAGCAGAAGATATGAATAATGGTGAATGGAATGCATATCAAAACAAGCCAATATACTGACCTTCCATTTCCATATCAGAATTGGTAGGGGAATAGGACACACCAGCATCTACTGACTCAATGGATTGAAGTGAAGAGCACATTTCTGATACCCCCCTTGATGTGTTGTAATCTCCATGATCATCACTTTTGTTAGACATTTCCCCATTGAGGGGCTTAGGGGATGAAGCATGAACATCCAAAACATCACAATTTTGTTGTGTTTCTCTATCAAGATGCTTAGGGGACGAAGTAGCAAAATCCAATATTAGATTCTCACTTACTGACAATTTTACTGTGTGTCTGGTTCCTTCCGCTTCTTCTTGGGGGCCTTCATTCATACAAACTGAAGATAAGCTATAACTTTCCGAGGCAGAGGCTATTCCATCAATAACAATACTTGTAGACGTGCCAGAACTTCTTTCTAACTTATTGGCCAAACTACAATACTTCTCCATAGGTGCTGAATTTGGAGTGGCAGGAAAAGTAGTGGGTGAAATAGATTCTGGAATTGGTGGGGCTTCTGCAGGAAAAGATGGGGGTGGAGGAGGAAGTGGACCACTTGATGTCCTATGTGGTGATGGTGAAAAAACAGTGCTCTTAAGGTCAGACGGTGCTGCATGCTGAAAAGCCTGACCGTTACCAGGTACTGGTAACAGCATCTGGCCTGAAGCTCCATATGGTGTTGGTGTTTCTATTTGTATTTGAGGTGGGGGTGGTTGGGGAAACACTCTGGGAGCTCTTGGAGCACTTGCAGGCAGATTATGATGCACATTTGGAGTCCACTGTGAACTCCATAAGGAAGTTTGATAGGAGTTGGACATGATAGAACTTTGATGGAGTTGGACAGATGGAGGGAGGGGAGGCACATTGGGCATCAAACAAGATTGACTGGAATGGATTCCACTAGTTGGAAGTTGTTGAGGTTGGAAATTCCGAGTTACACCACTGTGGATATGCTGATATACAAGAGGGTTGGGATGAACTACTGATGATTCAAGTAGTTGAAGACTACTCTGCATTATAGGTCCTGTTGGAGCACAAAGGGCATTCTGGGGAAAATGAGGAGGTGGTGGTGGAGGGTGTATAGGAGGAGGGGGGGGGAGGAGGAGGCAAGTGTTGTGCGGGTCCAGAAGTAAGACCTACCTGCCCAGCCTGAGTACCATTATTACCTCGAGCAGACATCTCAAAGACAAACTTCAATAGGGACACTACCTCTGACTAATAAATAACATCAGGGCCATGCATAAATATATTGCACAAGCAAATCATTGAATCAAATGCATAACCGTCCATCTGAAACAGGGGATAAAGAATGCGTGTGAGGTTTGCCCATGTAGAACAATAAAAAGATATACAATTCAGAGCGCAAATGCTTGTGCACACACAAAGATAAAAATGATGGGGGGGGAATCATTTTACATGCATCGGAAAGCCATTGAAACAGAGATATTAATAGAAAGAAAAGCATGAAAATATAATAACTAATAGACAAGCAAAATTCTAGGTTAGGGCAAATTAACAAGATAAATCAATGAAAGTACAGATATAAACTAGAAATATATCAGATTTTACTATGATCCATAACACACGTTTCTCTATACTTCCAGCAAGCAAATTCCGGGAAAAAAACCATTTTACATGCATTGGAAAGCCATTGAAACAGAGATATTAATAGAAAGAAAAGCATGAAAATATAATAACTAATAGACGAGCAAAATTCCAGGTTAGGGCAAATTAAAAAGATAAATCAATGAAAGTACAGACCTAAACTAGAAATGTATCAGATTTTACTATGATCCATAACACACGTTTCTCTATCCTTCAAGCAAGCAAAGGAATTTATATGCTTATATGACATTACTTCCAAAAAAAAGTGATACGGATAACAATAATTTTCATTCGCAACAGAAACACAACCCCTTCAAACAGACAAAGAATTTGCTTATTTGCCAAATGCAATGCAACAAAGCGATGCTAATGAGTTCTCTAACATCACATCCTAACCAAACTAAGCCGTGAAAACTGATAATTCGAACCTGAACTGAACAATAACATGGGTGGCATCAATATTCAATGTGAACCACACCATATCTCTTAAAGTAAAGTATAAGATAAAACTTAAGCGCACGTACACGTAAATACCCATGAAAAGTTTTGCAAAAGAATTGTACTATTACGATTACATGCTCACCGAGTAGCTGAAACTTAGAAGATCTCAACAGGTAGACATGAAATTGAATTCCCCAATGTGATAATTTTCACGAGTGCATAGCTTTCAAATTCCAGATATGAAAGAGAAAGAGAAAGGTTAAACCCTAATATATATTCTTCCACTTTGGAACACTAATAATGTTCTACGTAGTTTATAAAACAAATCTAATTAATTACCCTTCACCCCCTTTGTTTTGTTGATCTAGTGTATACGGTCGAAGTCCAAACTTAATCCCTTTTGTTTGACACCGGACATTGATCATGAAATTTTGACTTTTGAGTCAATAACTAATAACCAACTTTGTTTAATACGGATTAGTATGTTGGTTTAATTAAGTGCTTGTTTGTTAATTTACTTTAAATTTTTTCATGCGAAATGATTGTGTACAAAGTTTGAGGAATCAATCACTTTGTAAAATAGACAGAATTTTATCGATCCGGAACCTGAAAGATAAACGAAATATCAATTCGAAACCCGAAAGATGAAATGTATCGGTATAAAACCCGAATGATGCAAAACTATCAATCTAAGACATGAATGATTGAAAACTATCAATTTAGGATCAAAGTTTTCATAAACTTTATTATTATTTTTATTTTTAAAAATTTAAATAATATTTAGTTTCATTAAACTAATAAACTTTTGTAAAGAAAATCTCACCAAATACTCCCTCCGTCCCTGAAAATACTTCTAACTTTCCCTTTTCGTCCGTCCCAAAAAGAATTTCCTTTTCCTTTTTTGGCAAAGAAATTGTGGTTCACATCATTTCATTCTCCTCTGCACAACTCTCCACCACACAATTTCCACTTTCTTAATCCGTGTGCCACTTTATTTTGGAAGTAAATTATGGGACGGAGGTAGTATTAGCAATGGAATTAATAAAAAATTAAATAAATCAAAACCTATGAAATGTTAGGTCCTAGATTGATGGTTTTTCATCCTTCGAGCCTTATACTGATACATTTCATCTTTGAGGTTCCGGATTGATAACTCGTTTATCTTTCAACACAGATTGATAAAATTTCAAAATAGATTACATTGTTTAGCTAGATGTGTAATTTATTTTTAATTTGTACGCAAATTCGTTAAAGTGCTTTATGAAAAGCATGCAAATTATTTTACCATTCTCTCTCCACGTAAAATAATTTTTTTACCACCCTCCCTCCACGCAAAATATTTTACATAATACAATGTGAAATGTTTTTAAAAAAACTACATTTTACATTAAATAATCAAGTCAAACATTGTAAATCTTTTACGTTCCTACATTTCGCATGCAAAGCAATATAATTATTTTACATCCTACCAAACGCCCTCTAATGTAATAAACGTTTGATAAGTGCGCATTTTATTGTGGATTCCTTTGTACACCCCAAAAATAATGTAACTTGTGTAGTCCTATTTGCCATTTTCATTTTTTTTTTTTTGAAAAATTGATGTTTAGAGCATCTCCAATATAAAAATGTCAACAGTTCACGCATGACAGAAGAGTTATAAACACAAAAATAAATATTACCTTCTTCCCGGTTAAATTTGCCAAGTTAGAATTAGGTGAGAAATAAGAAAAGTGAAAGTTGTGTGATTGAGATATGTGTAGAAAGAGAAAAACGAGCAGAACAACGAATTAATTATTTTAATAGGAAAGTGAAAATTTTTACAGAAATTACCACAAATAGGAGTAAAACTATGGCAAAAATAAAAAAACAAGACATCTTATGTTTTCATTCCAAAATAGGACCAAATTACTCCTATTTGGAAACATACCTATTTTTTCATTTCATTCTTACCCCTCCTCTAAAAATGAGTAAAAGGTAGTCAAAAGTCAGAATTTAATGTTTTAATTCATAATAAATTCGTAAAAAATTATTAAAAAATGTAGAAAAATATTAAATAATAATAATAATATATAATTATAAAATAAAAAATTCAAATTTTTTAAAAATAAAAATTAAAAATAAATAAAATATAGTAAAGATCCATAAAAATATATAAAAAATGGATGTCTTTCCCACCGCTTGTACTGCCTCCCTGCACCACCACCTCTGACCGGTGTAAAAGATGTCATTTTCTAAAAAATGTCATTTTTTCTGAAAATGGAAAAAAAGTGGAATATTACTCTTTCAGAATGCCAAAATTTTCATTGAATCTACCATAAATATGGCATTTGTAATGCATGTGGCATTTTTTCTCATGTGACCGGAGGTGGTGGTGCTGGGGCGGCAGAGGCGGCGATGAATCTTTTTTTCGTTTTTTTAAATTAATATAAAAAACCAATTTTAAATTCTTATTTTTTAATTTTTTTTATTAATTTCTTAGTATTTTTTGAGAATTTTTTATTTTTTATTATTTAAAATATTGCAATAGCTACAAAGGTATATGTGTCTAAGACACACATAATTAGTCATATGAAACATAGTTTATTTTTTGTACCTATTTATGCAAATCGGCCTGCTTTTAGTCTTATGTGCATAATTAACTCAAAATTTTATGGGACAATCAAAAAGGAAATGTTGCCAAAGTCCAATTGAACGAAGGGAGTAATTAATACAAAGTCTTTCGCATTCTTTCCAATTGATTTTATTCATAATGTCAAACACCTCGTCTAGATCTCGCATTGTGTTTGCCATTGTGTATAAAAAATCACATAAAATCATTACATCCAGGGATGGATTTAAGGGGGGGGGGGGGGGGCACCCCCCTTGGACTTTCAAATTTTTCTACAATATATTTAATATTTTCATAAAATTTTTAAACTTTAATTAGATATATATGTGTTCGCCCCCCTTAACTTTTAGTTTTCAAAATTAATATATAGCCTTACATTATGTAATACTTAATTGGAGATTTAAAAGATGGAATATCTAAAATAATTTACATAACTTAAGCAAATAAACAATAGAACACCTCATTGTTCAAGACTTAGGATACCTATTATATAAAAATTCATAGTTTTGAAATGTTTAATTATCTTTAATTTATTAGATAATTATTACTCGATTTGTAAAATATCAAACAATATTATATACGAGACACACTAGTTAAATAGTTTTTCGATCATGTAAAATGAATCTAAAATTATACAATTCGTTGACTTCTTACTCTTTAAAAATAATTTATTGCATAGATAATAAATTTTAACTTATTTTACCACAACAACAACAACATCTAAGCCTTAATCCCAAAAAAAAATCGGGGTCGGCTAACATGAATCGATCTATGATATCGATGCCAAACAGAGAAGATAGGCAAGAAAGGGAAGAAAAAGAAGTAAGATAAAAGGAATAAAATAAAGATAAATAAATATAAGATAACAATAACACAAGAATATAAGAAAGATAAAAGATAAAAAATAAAAAAGCATAAAAAGCTAGAAGATAAAAATAACATAAGAATATAAAAAGATAGAGAAGATAAATGATAAAAGAACGGAAAAATTGATTGTAATAATCCCAACTATTGGCGGTCCGCTCATAATAATCCCAACTATCGATTATTTCAGAATAATCCCAACTTTAGGGACCTTCCGCCAATAATGGTCCGATGTGACCGACTATAAATAAATTCATGTAGTTTCTAAAGGGATATAGCAGATAATCCCTATAAATAATCCCAAATTTTAATTTTTACGCTTAATTTCTATTAAAAATTCACTTGTTAGAACATGTAATATGCGGTCATGGACCATTATTGGCGGACGGTCCATATAGTTGGGATTATACAGAAATAATCAATAGTTGGGATTATTGTTAGCGGACCGGCAATAGTTGGGATTATTATTTTCAATTTTTCCTAAAAGAAAAAAGAGAGGAAAGCTAGAAAAGACATCAATCTAAGAATCAACGATATAATATTATTCTAAAAATAATAATCTCATACTACGTACATACTATACTTTTGTAATATTAGCAAAACTTGCAATTCAAAATTTGCAATTCAATAATATTATTCTAAAAATAATAATCTCATACTGCGTACATACTATCCTCATGACTCACAAACACCCTTCTTAGTAAACAAAATTTGTAATTCAAAAATCAATTCCTGGCCTTTTACCGATAAGATTCATGTTGTTAAACATGACATGAGTTATTTAAAAAGCATTGGTGGTTGTGCACCTTTTAAACTCTTTACCTTCAAATAATTTGATAAAATGTTATATATATCCTTTGTTATTTACAAATATTTTTTCTTTGATTTGCTATTTTTTACGCTTTAATGTATCAATACTTTTTTTCTATAGCACTTACAATTATAAAATCAAAGTTATTTGTTCATTGTCTAAACTTAGAATGTAATATACTCCCTCCGTCCCGTAAACAACTTCAAACTTCGTTTTCACACATATTAAGGAAATAAACATACTGGGGGGATAAATTTTACTGTATGGACACTGTTTCGACATTGATTGGCATTGTTTGGTACTGTTTGACACTTTTTGAATGTAGAGAATTTGCCAAATAAGGAACTGAGAAGAAGTGTGAAGTTAATTTAGGGACTATCCGAAAAGGAAAGTGAGAAGTCGTTTCTGGGACGGAGGGAGTATTTAAATATCATCATGTATGTACTTATGGATTCTTTTTTAATAAAAATTAGCCGCAAAGCCTTTCTAAACTAGCGAAAAAATTCGCTCTACTACACTAGCGGGGAAAAAAAATTCGCCCGACTACACTAGTGAAAAAAAAATCACCCACTACACTAACGAAAAAAATTCCGCCCCCCTTGACTCAAAATTCTGGATCCGTCCCTGATTACATCGTCGAAAAATGTGAAAAACTTTCTATTATTTAATTACTTTTGTGTTTAAATCTCTCATGTCACGTGTGCACCGTTAACACTTATACATTGGAGATGCTTTTAGACAATGCAAATCGCCTAGAAACACTTGTATCTCGGGGCACCGGTCCAAAACCGGACCGGACCTGATAGTAACCGGTCTAGATTGGTCCGGACATGTTTATTCCGATTCGGACCCGTTTTAGACTTGATTAGCCCCGTATTACAAAATGTACTTAAGATTTTGAATTTTTATTAAATCATAGATGTGTGCTATCCTTACCACTACAAACCTGCAATGTAGCCTACATGTTTATAATACAAGTTTATAAATATTAAGAGTAAGTATTTTCCTAAGACAACAAGCATTATAAATACTACACCTGGTCAACGTTGCAATGAT